TATACAGCAAGGCGCTATACAGCAAGGCGTTATACAGCAAGGCGTTATACAGCAAGGCGCTATACAGCAAGGCGTTATACAGCAAGGCGTTATACAGCAAGGCGCTATACAGCAAGGCGCTCAGAAAGAGACAGAAAAGCTGCTGTACCGGGAGACAGCAAGCCTTGGGGGGGCAGGTTAACTGGAGCTAAAAGATACTTTTATTGTTAAGCAACTTAAACAAAACAGGCAAACAAAAATAAGCAAAACAAACAAGCGAACAAAAGCAAACGCGTTTCCGTAAATATTATTCCACCTCGTCAGTGAATGGCCAAAACATATCTTCCAAAATCAGATCTGCACCGCGTGGCTGGCAGTTGCCACGGCGCCCGGACCCAGGACACCGCCTCCCAGTCTCTCCAGCCACACCCCCGGCATCACCTCCCTCCCATAGCCCCCACTATCAAGTTCACCATCACTTTACATGTCAAGGTTGGGGGTGGGTGGGGGGGTGGCAGCACGAAGGCGAAGGCGCTGTGTCCTAACACAACAGAGAACATTGGAGAAGATGGAGGAGCAGCATACCTGCATCCAGCGAGCCGGTGGCGGCGGTCCAGCCCATGATGGGGGGAATGGCACCCACCAGAGCCCCCACCCAGGTGTTGGCGATGCTCAGCCTCTTGAGTGGTGTGTAGCAGCAGGTGTACAGCACGATGTTAAGGGCCCCCAGGAAGCCGGTCAGGGGGTTTACAGCCAATGCGAGGAGGCCCACGCCCGGCACGGCACAGGAGGCGGCGAAAGCCACGGCGTGGAGGGGGCTGGGGGGGCAGGGCGAGGGGAGCGGTTAGGGTTAGGGTTAGGGTTAGCGGAAAGGTCCCCATGTCCGGTGACGTTAATCATCACACCCAGCTTGCGGCTCTGAAATTCACCAGAAAACTGTTAAACAGCTGCAGGACGTGAACAGCTAAACAGGCACTCAGGGATAAGGGGGCCGAGTAAACACAGGCCAACCCCCCCAACCCCGGACACCCCATCACTGTGCTCTTACTCACGCAGGGGCGCACACGCACACACGCACACACACACACACCTGCTCCATTCCCTTCCTGCTGGCATGGTCTCCCATACAGTAGTAGATAGACATGCAGATGTGCAGCCTGAAGACTGCTCCCTGCAGTCCGCTAGGGCGTCTGCGTCTGTGGACCATTGTTTATTCAGCGCCATGGCAGTGGGGGCCTGGCCGGTCCTTCACACAGAGCCCACACAGGGACGTCTTAAAAGCCTGAAGTTACCTTTGAAGCTACACATTCACCCCCCACCTTTGAGATGAGAGACAAAAAGGCCCATCAGATAAGAGTTTTCCTGCCAGTGTTCCCTAAGGGGGGGTAAACTGCACAGACAGACTCTGAAACTGGACCTGCTTTGAGAAAGCCGGTGGGGGGGGGGGTCATGGGGAAACACCCAGCGGATCAGGCAGGGATTAAAATGCTGACTATGTGCAGCTCGACACACTGGGTCGATGGAAATCCGGGATTTTATATCACTGCCGTCGAGGCCGCCACACGCACCACTGTGGGGGGGCCCTGTTACCCCGCCCCCCCAAAAAAAGATCATGTCACACAGCTTGGGGTGGGGGCCACATATACAACCTCAGGTCGTCTTTCCACTACAACACGGAAGACCACCCCCCCCACACGCAGGCGAAATGCCACAGTGGGAGTTAAACCCCCCAGGAAAGGAGGGAGAAGAGCGGCGCTGCGGCCATGTGCCCCCAAACTCATGGACACTACTTTGATGGGGGCAGAGCGAAGGTTATCGGGCCTGGGCCGAGACCTGTGTGTCTAGCGGCCCCTCCCCGTTACTCAATCGAACCCGGGGCCTGGGAGGCCTCCTCATCCCTCACGGCTGTCATCCCACCCGGGGTAGGAGCAAACATTTAGCAATCTTAAGCGATCTTCAGCTGGCCGAGTGAGGAAGCCAAACATCGCTATCTGACCGAGGGGGGTGAAAGGTCACTTTGATCACATGGCAAGGCTAAATATCCTGTCATTTCTGAACTAAATCTAGACAAAAAAAATCTGATTACTAAAAAAGTCTATATCTCTGTGTGACAACACATTAGTGAAGGTGGTGATGGGGGGGGGGGTTAGTGGCAGAACATTTAGACCGAGAACCCAACATGAAGGAACGAGTCCATTCAACCGCAGCTGTGCTCAGAACGTTTCCACACGCTAAAGCAG